ACGCGGACTTTGCGTCGACCGATCGAGTTCGCGACCGCGACGTTTTCCGCGGGCGACCCGGCGACGGTCGTCTTGACGGCGACGGCGTCGTCCCAGGCGTGGATGAAGACGCCGTCGAGGGCGACGTCCCGCGACGCGTCCGGGTCGACGCCGTCGGCGCCGGAGAAGATCTTCGCGCGGTGGACGCTCACGGCCGCGCAGCGCCGGAAGTGGAGGCCCCAGCCCCGGGACCCCTGGAAAAAAACGTCGCGGACGGTGACATTCGTCGCGTCCTCCGCGAGGACGTGGCGCCCGTGGAAGCCCGCGGCGTCGAAGGTGCCGACGCCGGCGAGGGAGGCACCGTCGCCGGAGACGGAGACGAACGCGCGCAGATCCGCGTCGCGGTCCGGGCCGTCGTAGCGCAGCACGGCGCCGGCCTCGAGGAAGAGCGACGCGCCGGGCGGGAGGGCGAAGGCGTCGGTGTCATGGAAGCCCGGCCCGAGGGCCACGGATGTGTGCGTTCGGAGCGCGGCCTCGAGCCAGCCCGCGCCCGCGGCGCCCGCCGCGACCTGGACGGCGCCCGGGGGCCGCGCCGCCGCGGCGGTCGCGTCGACCCAGAAGTAGTAGCGCCGCCCGCCGCGGCCGTCGACGAGGTAGGCGTGGCCGGGCCCGAGCGAGAAGCGGACGACGACGGCGCCGCCGTGCTCGAGCAAAACGAAGTCGAGGTCCCGCCCGGCCGCCCGCAGCGCGGCGTCGGCCCAGCGGTCCGCCGTGCCCTCGACGCGGAGCTCGCAGGGCAGGGCCGCGTCCGACGCCCAGCGCGCGCGCGTCGACGGCAGCGGCGGCGGGCCCACGCCCCGCGCGGGGGAGCCGGCCTCGAAGGCGAGGGGCACGGCCACGCCGCCGACGGTCAGGGACGCCGTCTCGTCGACGACGATCCCCGTCGCGGGGTAGACGTGCGGCGCGGGCGACGCCGCCCCGAAGGCGACGCGCGGCGCGGGCGCGGCCGCCCCGAAGGCGACGCAGACGGCCGCCGCGACGACACTGAACATCTCCCTCCCTGTGGCAAAACTGGTTCTAGGCTACTAAAGTAGGAGAGGTTAACAGCTAGAGGGCCTCCCCCAGGGGGGTTTGCGGCACCAGGCCTTGCGGCACTGGGACTCCAAGCCTAGCCGCGACCGCCACCGGCGGCCGGGCTGGCATCTAGCTCCGAGGGGCCAGGCGCGCGGGGGCTCACTCGCAGTCCGTGGACTCGCTTCGCGGCCCGCGCGGACACGCCATACTCAGGGCGGGTCCGGTTCACCTTCACGCTCTACGAAGATCAACAACGACGTAATAGCAACGCGTAAACGATGGCTGGCAGCCTCGATTGCTAGGTGTGTAGGATTGCAACTGGTAAACGACGATGGCGGCCTGATCGTTCCCACGATGCTCTTCGAGGACAGCGGCGAGGCGCCGCTGGGCGACCACCTGGCGCCCGGCGCCCCGCGGCCCGACTTATTGACGGCCAGCGAGGCGCGCCAGCTCCGGAACACCTGGCGCGCGGTCCGCCGGCTCGAGGACGACATCGAGCAGCAGCGCGAGGCGCGCGCCGTCTCCGGCCGCGGCAACGAGCACCTGCTGCGCCTCGGCGACGTCACGGGCAACCGCACGACCTGGGCCATGACGAACACGTCGACGCGGCACCGGCTGCTCCCCGGCGCGCGGCCGGCGCCGGCGGCGCCGGCCGGCCCCGCGGACGTGTCCGCGACGCGGCTCACGTTCTACCCGCGCTACGCGTCCCTCGCCGAGGGCGAGCTCGCCGTGACCGTCGAGCGCTTCGGGGCCTCCTGGCGCGACGCCGCGGCCGCCGAGGCCGCGCGGCGCCGCCTCTGCCACCGGCTCCGGGGCCTCCGCGCGGGCGGCGCGCCGCTCGCGCGGGCCGCCGTGGACCTCGTCGACGCGTCGGCGCCGCGGCGACGCGCCGCCGTCGAGCTCGACGCCGCGGGCGTCGTGCACGTGTCGCGGCCGAAGGCGCGCGAAGCGGACGGCGCGCGCGGCGGGTGGCGGTGCCAGGCGGCGACGCGCCGCGGCGGCAACGTCTTCGTCGAGGCGCTCGGCGGCGACGCGCCGGACCCGCGGTGCCTCGGCGACGCGCTCGTCGGCTGGCTCGCGGCGCTGGGCATGCCCGTGGGCGACATCGACGCCGCGGCCGTGGACCGCGTCGAGCGGAGCCTCCGGCGCCGCGCCGCGGGCGAGGCCGGCAAGCGCGTCGCCGCGGCCGTGCGCCAGCTCTGCGGCGCCAATCCCGTCGAGGCGAACTACGCGGCGCTGCTCCGCGCGCTCGCGGCCCCCGTGGCCGCGCTCGCGGCGCTCGGGCCGCCCGCGGCGGCCGCGGACCTCGCGGACGTCTTCCTCGGCGGGCACCCGCCGGCCGACCCGGCGGCCGCCTACGTGCCCCTGGGCGAGCTCCGGCGCGGCCTCCGGCGGCTCTTCGACTGCGTCGACCTCGAGCCCCCGCCGCGGCTCGACGCGGAG